AATCTTTGAATTGCAGATTGTTGGCTACCTATTGTTTCTCTTTGATATTTGGCATTTAAATAAGCTCGTAATGTGGCAGGTGTATTTATAGCAGGATTTCCTAATGTAAAAGGATCATTTGCAGGCACTGGAGCAAATTTTCCACCTATTTTGCTTTTTAAAACATCGCATTTAACAGCATCATTGAAATCTCCTGCATTCGCATTTTCAAGAGCCGTCATTTGAGGCACTGCAATAGACCATGCTTGTTCTAATGTATTTACATAATCATCAGGTGGCATTTGGCCTATATATTGTGAAATTGGTTGAAAAGATTGATAGATTAATTTTAATACTGGTCGTCGTCTACCTTCTGCCATATTTTGTGGGTTATTTTGTAACAATAAAATTTGTCCTTGCAAATTTAAAATTAATTGTTCTGCATTTCGAGTTCTATTTTTCCACTTTCCCCATTTAATATCAAGTTGTATATCACATAAGTGTAAATCATTTTTCAACGTATCTATTCTGATACGACATTGTTGTAATTCTAAAAAATACTGCTGGCATACAACTCTTTCATTATTATATACTGCAGTCAATAAATTAAGATCTGCTTCTGTATTTCTTAATTCTGTTTGACGTATATCACGTTCTGCTTCAGCATTATATCTTTGTTGTTGCTCATTTATAAGATCTGTTTGAAGATTGTTGTATTTGCGACGTATCTGTCTTGTAACTCTTTTTATTTGATTGGATAAAATTGTTCTATTTGTTCCTGGATTATCCAAATAACCATCAATAGTATCGGCTAGCTCAGCTATTGTTGCCATATCTGGGTCAGATGTATAACTATCTTGAGAATTTTCATCTGATTCATATTCATTTTCTATATTCCATATCTGAGCATTTTGCAAAGTTTCTTGAGTATTTATAAGTTCTACTCTATCTCGGTATCTTAATAATGTTAATGCAAAGTTTTGACAATGTAAATCTGTAATACGAGTTTTTTTCTGAGCTAATTTATTGTCTCGATCTCTAAGATTATATTTTAAAGTATCGATTTCACGTTTGAGACGTTCATTCTCATCTATTAACTTTGCCGTTTGGGTATATGCTTTATGAGTATTACCTGCAGATTTTGATATTTCTCGAATTCGGGTTTTGAGTTTTTTTTCTCTTACGTCAAATTCAGCTAATTGATTTTCCCTGGTAATAAGCTCCTTATCTTTTTGTTCGATCTCCTTTTTAAGACGATAGACGATTTTTTTTAGGTCTGATATCTCTTTTTCCAATTCCTCCCTTTCTTGTATTGAAAGTTCGATTGCATTTGCTAACTCCTCTTCGAGATATCGAATTCTTTCCTCACGTAAAACTATATCCCGTTCAAGATTGTGTGTTCGGCGTTCGTAGTCTCTGTTTGATTGAGCCAATCGATCGATTTCATCGTGAAGTTCTTTATTAGCTTGGCGCAATTCATTCATGTTTTTTATTCACTATAATAATAAAAGTTATGAGTAATCCTGTAATTTATATCGACTCACAAAGAGCTCATGATCTTGATCGTGAAATTGCTTTACAGAAATTATATTACAGACCTGAAGGGTACTATCGAACTGTTGAAAAAATGCATAATGCATCGCGTATAGCTGGTTATAATTTTTCGTTAACAGATATAAAAAATTGGCTAAATAAACAGATCACTTTTTTAGTTCATAAACCCAAGCCTAAATTTATTCAATATGCTTCTTTTAATGGTATACGAGATTTAAATGAAGTACATAAATCAGATCTTACTCCTCTTTCTTTCGATAAAATTGGTAATCGAATTTTCAAACATAGAGGTGTTGTAAAAGATGTGGCAACTAGATTTCGTAAAAGTTGTGCTTTAACTAATAAGTCTTCTGCATCGTTAGCTAAAATGTTTAAAGCAATTTATGGTGATCCTAATAATCATCTTACATGGCCGAAAGTTTTAATTGTAGATAAAGGTACTGAATACTTAGGTGAATGTAAAGATTTATTGCTTAGTCATGGTGTAAAAATTGTACAAGCTAAATCTAAACGTAGTACATCAATAGCTGAACGAGATCACCAAGAATTTGAGAAACATGCCTATATTCGTCAAGATGCTGTTGATTTTCATTTACCATTAACTGAGAGATGTCGATCTTGGGTTAAAGGCCTTCGTATTAATGATGACATTTATAATGATACTCCCACTCGATTAATTCATATGTCACCTAATGAAGCTGTAAAGAGAGCTTTGAAAGGTAAAAAAATAATTGCTGATCCATCTGTAAAACATCGAAGACCTATTGGGTTTGATGAACCTCGATTAACTTATAAAGATTCTGTTTTATATTTACTCGAACCTGGAGAATTAGAATTTGGCAAGAAATGCATAACTGATATGAATTGGTCTCCCAAAGTTTATCGTATTAAGGAATCACTAATACAAAATAATCAACTGGTGTTATACTGGCTTATGGATGAAAATGGGGATGGTCCCGAGAGATCATTTGTAAGAGAACAATTATTATTAGTGGATAACAATATAGAATATCCCCCAAAATGGATCCTTGCTGAAAGCAGTCACACAGTGGCTAAATAATATTAAATTTCTAGACCATGAATTCTTTGAAGAATATCATCTACTTCTTCCTTGGATCTTTTTTCTACAATCTCTTCTTGACTAGCCAATTCAAGATATAATTTATATAATTTTTCCAGACTAGTGTATACTTCTTCATTATACCAATCTTTGAAATCTGCCATTCTCTCATTATATGTTTCCTCATTTGGAACACGCTGTTTTGCAACATATCTAACATGATCTTCTGGATCTCTTTTTCGTTGTAAAGTCTTAAGATAGTTTACATATGATGCTCCCATTTTGTCATATTTTTTGGTACCTTGGCTATATGTAACTTTAATCACTTCAACTAAAGCAGATTCGATATCTTTGTGATTTATCATTTTGAATATTGTACTTTTTATTATATATTAATTAATCAGATCTTTTGTTTAAATAAAAAATATTTCTTTTATCCATGTCTGGAAAATATACCTGTAATTATATACACAACTCTGGTGAAGTTTGTGGACGTGGTTGTCGACGACCTGAAGGATGCTTTGATCATTGGAGGTCTAAAAAACGTGTCCCTTGTAAAGTTTGTGGTAAGCCAACTTCTTCTGCACCTGGAACATGTAAAATTCATGCTGGTGGGTTTTATGTTTTGCAGTTTTATTCTCGCCAGCTTAGCAAGAACTAATATTATAGATAATGGTGAAGTTATTATGATTAAAGTTAAGCTTGCCAATCTGGATCGATATTCATTTCATTCATATCTTCACCATGATTTTTTTCTTTTAATAGCAAGCAGAATAGTAATATGAAAATGTGCCAGCAAACATAAAACGCGTATTATTCGAGAAGATTAATTAATAGAAAGCCCGCCTTCTCGCAGTAACTGCTCAAAGCCAGAAAAAAAACAGACAACATATGTGTCGAGACACTAGCTCTGCTATATTTGTAGACATGAAGTGTCCTGCTCTGCAGACATACATCTTTTTTCCGAAAAGCAAAGAGGAAAAAAGGGCTAATAATATAGATAATAGTAATAAATCAAGTTTAAGGCTCTGACAGTAATCGTTTTAGTAATCAAATAAGTTAACTATGCTCTGCTTCACTTCGCATTCGGAGTCGCTACGCTCCTCCGGGATAGTAATCGTTTTAGTAATCAAATTATAAAACTTATAGGTTTTAAGCGTCTTTTTTATTAA